GGGGGGGGCGGGGGTTCAGGCACCAGGACCCCCCTGACCTGCGGTTCTGTGTTTCAGGGAGCCTCTCTGCCTTCGTGTACCAGCACTCCATCACCCCCCTGGCACTGCCCTGCAGGCTCAGCATCCCCACCCGAGGTAGGTCCTGGGGGCAGGAGAGATGTTCCCAGCAGGTCCCTCCTGCTGGGCCAGGGAGGTGGGGAGGGTCCTGCCGTGGGGAGGGGGCTGCCCACCCAGGTGCCCCCCGGGCAGGGCTGGGTGGCTGGGCTGCAGGTGGAGCAGGGACCAGCAGGAGCCGACTGAAGCAGCAGGCAGGGGTGACCTGCTGCTGCTGGGGGAGGAAAGGGGGCAGCAAAGCAGCAGGGATCACTGAGGGAGGGTAAGGAAAGGAGCGGGGAAGGTTGGAGATGAACAGAGCCAGGAAGGGGAGATGGAGAACAATTGAATCAATCACTGCTCTAAACTCCTGCAATTTAAGTGGTCCTGGGCCTTTGGGCCTCTTGTAGGAGAAGGAATTTCACCCAGTGCAAAGTGGTGACCCAGAGCAGCCTGACCTGAGGCATCAGTGCTCCTGCTTGTCCTTTGTGCAGATCTTGCTGATGGAGAGGACAGCCCTGACTGCGTGCCAGAATCCACACTGTCCCTGCTGAAGAAAACTGCTGGTGAGGAAAGGAGCAGGCTGGACAGCCAATTTGGCAATAGCTGGAGCTCTGGACATGCTCCCCTGCTTTGGCCTTAGTCCTCACCCATCCCACACCAGGCTCTGTTTGTTTATGTCATCCGTTCTGACACCATTCACAGCAGAAGCTGAGAAGCTGGTGCTGTCTTTGGCCCTGTGCAAAGCAGCAGGTCACCCCAGAACAGCTGTGGGTGCTGGTGCCATGTCCCCTCCTGGCTTTGTCACTAGGTGAAGATACATGCAAGTTTACTTCACATCCTCAGATCATGGGCCTGAAAAGGGAACCTGATATTTTTTAAGAAAGGAAACTTTTTGTCCTTGCGATGGTGAAGTAAAGCTTGAAAAGGCAGTTCCTGAAGTCTCAAGACTGAGAAAAGAACCACAGTTCCCTTTATCTTAAAGGGCCTGATTTTTAAGCCTCTCTTCTAGTTGGCTTCAACTGGTGTTGAACTGATGGGCACAGAACCTCTGGAGTTTCTAGGAGAGGGATGGGGCTGGTCACTGAGGGACCCTATGAGACACATGGGAATGGCAGAGCAGGCTGGGGAAGGGTCTTTGCTTCTCTTCCACACCCAGGTGCCCCCAGCCTGGGTGCAGTGGTGGGTGGGTTCCAGATGGGAGCAGAGGGCAATGGGCAGGAAACCACATGGATGGGTCACGGTGCAGTTGGGGGAGTCAGAAACTCCTTTGTTTTGCTGGAAATTCTGAAAAACAAGTTGGCAGGCTGAAAAGCTTAGTCTGACCCAGAGCAGCCCTTTGAACAGCTCAATCAGCCTGAAATGTCATGTTTTAGGTTGGCCTTCAGCCCTTAGTTGGCTTGGGGTATTTCTGCTTTTCATTAAAGGAAATATGCAATAAACAGAAGAAAAATCCAAATGTGACATTTAGAAACCGGAAATTAAACACTTTGGCTTTTCAAACAATTAGTGCAAAGCCTTACAGTAAACCAGAATAAATTTGTGAAGAATTTGAGTCACCAGATCTTTAATTTTCATCAAAACAAATCTGCCCCATGTATATATCTCTGGTGCTGGGGACCCGTCCCTGAGCCGGGCTCGGTGCTGTCCTTGCAGTCTGCAACGTCCTCTACCTCAACTCGGTGAATGTGGAGACACTCACGGGAAGTCTGGCTGTCCAGAAAGCCATCTCCTCCACCTTCGAGCTGGAGCTGCTGCCCACACCCACCCTGGTGCACTTCAAAGTGGCAGAGCAGGGGGTGACGCTGACGGATGTCCAGAGGAAGTAAGAAATTTCTACTGGGGTCAGGGTGGGGCTGCCAGGGGTTCTGCTGGGGGGGCTCAGTGGTCCTGGGCATACAGCTCACCCATGACCACCCAGCTCTCTTCTGCCTCACAGCCTGCTAACGTGCTCATCTGCAGCACGTTGGGAAAAGCTGTCCTGCAGGACAAACCTGTGCTGCAGTCCAGAGATGGAGCTGATCCCTTGTGTTACAGCACAGAGCAGGATGCTGCTTTACATGGAGCTCATGGCAACATCTCAGCAGGGGGAGGCAGGAGCTGACTCAGCCCACAACATGCCCCTGCTGTGTCAGCTCAGTCACCCCTGGAGAGCAGGACCCCCAAACCCCTGCCTCCCACACCCCTATTCCCAGCAGCCACAACAGTTTAAGCAGGGCTTGAATTTGTAAATGCCTGTTTCTCCCCCTAGACCTCCCTGGGCTCTGTCCTCCTCTAACACCACCCTCTCCTTCTTTCCCCAGGGTGTTCTTCAGGCGTCACTACCCCTTGGCTGCCATCAGGTTCTGTGGGATGGACCCTGAGAACAGAAAGTGAGTTATCAGCTGCTCTGTGGGCTGAGGGATCCAGCTGGAGCTGCCACAGGGCTCTCGCTTCCCCCTGTTCCCAGCGCAGCTCCCAACTCTGCAAAATCCCAACCACTGGCTGTGCCCCTATCCCAGGCTTAACGTGCTGCGTTTAGCTGAGTATAAACCTTGACTCTGCAGCTGATGGAATGAGTTAAGTATCACTCTGAGCAAATCCTATTCTGTTGTTCCCTCAGGTGGCAGAAGTACTGCAAGTCTTCGAGGTGAGCCCTGCACTGGGACCTCCAGCCGGAGTGTGTGGGAGGGAAACCTGGGGAGATGCTGCTTTGGGCCAGGCTCCCTCTCCAGGGCTGCACTGCAGAGCTCCCCAGAGCAGCACAGAAGCAAAGCTTAAAAATGGAGAGGGGATGGGATAGAGGTGAATGTGGTGGCAGGATGAGAAATGAGGTGGGTGGGTAAAGCTTTGGGGGGGTTTTGCTCTGTAGGTTTGATGAAGGGCTTGGCTGAGCCCTGTTCTCCACATCCCCTCGTGTAGAAATCCAGCAGCCTTCCTGGTGCCTTGCTTGCTCTGGGCTCAGGAAGTGAGTTTATATCTGGCTCTACCTTGTCTTCAAGAAACTTTTCACAGCTGGGGAAGCCTTGCCAGAAACACTTCTCCTGGATGTTTTGCTTCCAAGTGAACATGATTGTGGAGCAGGCCAAGGTGGAATTGCTGGAAACTGGGGTTTTGTTTTGTGGCTGGGGCTAGTTTAAAGCATATTCCTTTGGATTCCTGGATGCAAACTACATAAGGCTCTTTCTCCTTTTTCAAAGGATCTTTGGGTTGGTGGCCAAAAGCCAGACAGATTCGGAGAACCTCTGCCACCTGTTTGCAGAGTATGACACCGTGCAGCCAGCGTCACTTGTCATCGACCTTCTCTGCAAGCTCCGGGCGGGCCCCTAGAGGACAGAGACCCCAGGACAGCTCAGGGCTGGCAGCTCCCCCAGGCTGCTGAGCTTCTGCTCACCTCCTGCTTCTGGGTTGCATTTTGGCAACAGCTCATATTTATACTTTTTTGTTATGCACTGTCACATCAAGAGTCTCAGTTAAAGACTTTTATGCTCTGGTGGGAGGAGATTCTGCAGAGACTGTGGGGCAGCCTGGGCTGGCTGCCCAGGGGAGCTGTGCCAGGCTGGGAGCAGAGCTGTGCTGAGACGCTGCCTCTCCCCCAGCACTCACCCTTTGCTTCCCTCTGGAGAATGGGAACACTCTGGCTGAGATTCCTACTAGCAGTGGAGGATGCCTGTGCTCAGGGTGTCCAAGCCAGGATGTGTTTGGTGAAGCTGAGCTCCCACATTTGGGGACTCTCCAGTGCCCTGGGAGGGGAGGTCTGGTGCAGGCAGGGGGGACTTACCTTCCTGGTGGCAGACCACCCTCAGGAGGCAGTTTTGCAAATCAAAGTATATAAAACCACTAGGCCCTGCTGAAAAACCCTGCTTCTCTTCAAGAGCAACGTGCCTGTTAAGGCAGAAACGTCAGGTCAGTGTGGTTGTGCCTGGTGCTGGGAAATTCTCCTGCCCTTTTTTGCAGAGCAGGGTTATGGGCCAGCTCCCCCCCAGGCATTGCAGCAAGCTAAGAAATAAATGTTGACATTTTCATGACAGTAAAACATTGTGTTTTTGGAAGTGACTTGCATGAATTTGGGCCAGATCCTCAGATGACGTAAACTGGCTCAGCCCTGTGGATGTCAGAGCTGCTGTGATTTGCACCAGCTGAAGATTCAGCTCTTGCTGTAATGTGAGACCTGCTCCAAGTCACCCCACACTGTCTGCCTCAGCTCTCTCTTACCTGGTGCCTCTGCCATGGCTTGATTGTGCAGCCAACCCTGCCTGGGGGTTCCCTGTGCAAAGCACAGGTGAGATTGTTCATCTCGCCACAAACACTGCAGAGGTGTCAGCAACTGGAATCTGTTGCTCTGTGCTCTCAAACTGCCAAGCACCTGCATGTGTGCACAGAAAGAGTTGTCTGTCTGCTCCAGCTGGGCTGTGAATGACTCTTTGGCAGAGATAAAACCAGATATTTGGGTTCCTTTGCAGGGTGGGAAGAGCACCCCACTCCAGGATGAGAAACCCAAGTCCTGCTCAGCCCAAACCACCTGGATTTGGGGAAAAAAAAACCCAAACAGAAAATTCTCAGAGGTCCTCGTGGCTTCCAAAGTCTGTCCAAGGCTTCCTGGAAGCTCTTGTGCTTGGTTCCTGTGTCTGATTCCAGCCATTCTGTAACAAACCCGGCGCCTGCCCTGGCTGGGTTTGCAGGTTTGTTGCTCTGCCACCAGCAGGTGATGTCCTGTGTCCCCGACACAGCAAGACCCCAAAAGCCATTGATGCTGCAGCACTTGGCCAGGCCATCCCAGGTGGCCCCTGGCACCAGCCCCCGGGCTCCCAGCAGCAGCTCTTCCAA